GATTTCCAGAGGCATGTTATAATCATTACTTGATCCCTATTATATGCACTTTTTTTTTTCTCGATTGTGGCAACAATACAATTCTTTAAATACCAGAAAACAAAGTTAACATTTTTCCCCTTATTTTTCATACTTTGGCAATGATAAAATTTGACTTAGCCATAATTCTAATTATGTTTGGAAAGAAAGAAGTAGTAACGACAAGGTGCATGTTGTAATAAGGATAGATAATCAAGGGAAACTGTAGGATGAAGGAAAGGAGAATAGAGAAAGTACGTTGTGAAGATAATGTTCATGAAAAGAGAAAGCCAGGTTTTGACTACCACCACCTCCTCTTAAATTGCTGATGATTTCTCTCTCCACAGTGAGAAAGTCTTACAAATTGTATCATAACTTTACCTGGCTAGGGAGCTCTGGTGGCCTAGAGTGTAAGAAACAGTGCTGCTAACCCAAAGGTGGATCTCTCTAGCAGTTCAACTCCTACAGGGGCTCCTCTCATGCCACACACAGCCTCTGAAAACCCTTTGAAGGGTCAGCTTTGAGTCAGCTTCAACTCAACAGCAATGAGTTTTAATTTTTTAGTTTTATCTGATGGCCTTGGGGTAAGATGTGTTGCACTGCCAGCATAAAAGCAGCTGGTTTGAGTTCACCAGCTGCTCCTCAGGAGAAAGATGGGCAATATCCTCCCATATAGTTTATAGCTCTGAAAACTTGCTGGAGGGTCAGCTATCAGTCAGTTTCACCTTAAGGGTAATGAGTTATGAGCTTATGATCTGGCATGAAAAATACACACTGCTGTAAATTCTATTCCAATTCATAGTGACCCTCCATCAGGTGTCTTAAGACCACAAATCTTAACGGAAGCAAATTGCCTTCTTTTTCTCCTTTGGGACAGCTGGTGTATTGCACCTGTCAACCTTTCAGTTAGCAGACCAACAACTGTTGGAATTGACTTTTGGTTTTCACCTGGCTTTTTGGAGGAGTGCAGTGGCAGAGTTTGTAGCAAGTTACACTGATAACCCAATGATCTGGTGTCTCTGGAAGTATGAATCCACCAATGGCTCTGGGATAGAAAGATGGGAAGTCTCCTCCAGTTAGGATTTGTAAGCTCTTAATCTTGAAGAAGAGTCATCAAGAGTCAGAAGAAATAATTCCGCAACAGTGAGTTTACAGAACATGTACAGACTTCTGATCCCTAAGAAGGTTTCTGAAGCTGCAAATCAAACAGGAGATTGCCCATCTTTCTCTTGAAGAAGCGCTGGTGAATTCAAACTCCTTTTGGGTTAGGAGTAGAACTCTGTACCGACTAGGTTTCAACTAAAAATTTGTGTTGTTGTTGTTGTTAACAACTCATCATTTACTTTCCTCCCAGGATTTTTCACATGCACATGAGATAACTGAAAATATCATAGCTTGGATAAGGTATATTTTAGCCCCCAAACTGATATTTTTGCTTGTTAACACTTCAAGAAGCTTGTGGATGAAAACAAAAGTACATTTTGACTAAGAAATTTGGAAGACAGATACTTGACCAACTGACTTGCAGAAATCAATATTTTAAATAATCCTCACAATCTTACACTGAACCAATTAAAAAGCATTACTCTAAACAGAGATGATTTTACAAAATACTTTTAAAATCTTAACCAAACAACCTAGATTTGCTTCTCTATCCTAACCTTCTGTCACTTCCAACTTTCCAATTCACTCCAATATGAACTATATGCAGTTCTACATCCAAGATACTCCTATTCCCTCTTTAACTGACACACGTCTGATTCTTTAGATCTTGGCTTATATATCAGTTACTCAAGGCAATCTTTCCCAGCTTAAAATTAGACTTGATGTTCTCATGAATGATTTCCCAGTACATTGTACTTTTCCCACCATTGCACAAGCGTACTGTATTTTAATTACCTGTTTGCTTATTTATGTCCCTTACAAAATTTTAAGCTCTTTAAGAACAGAGACTATATTTTGCCTTGTTTAGTGCTATTAATGTATTCAGTAATTATTTAATGAATGAATAAATATAATTTCATCAATTTGGTCTAGTGGTTGCTGAAAGTGATGACAACTCGAAGCACTATCTGATGAAGACAAAGATTTTAGTATGTAGGGGAGCTCAGGTGGCCTAGTGGCAAGAAGCTGCAACTACAGTCCCAGAGGTGCACTGTTCGAATCCACCAGATGCTCTGCCAGGGAAGGAGGGGCAATCTCCTCCTGTACCAGTCAGATCTGATTTGACGGTACATGCACACAAAAATAATAAAATAAAATAAAAAATAAAAAAAGATTTCAGTATGGATTATAAACCTCAATATTAAAAAAGAAAATCCTCAAAATAGGACCAAAAAGAAACATTATGATTAATGAAAAAACGATGGAAATTACCAAAGATTTCATTTTACTTGGAAGCAGCAGTCAAAAAACCAAACGAAGTATTGCACTAGGCAAATTTGCTTTTCGAAAAGAACTCTTTAAAAAAATTGTCTAAAAGTAAAGATGCTACTCTGAGGTCTAAAGTGTGCCTGAGTAAAGTCAGTATTTTCAATTCCTCGTATGTCTATGAAAGTTGGATAATGAATAAGGAAAGCCAAAGATAAATGGATGCACTTGAATCACCGTGTTAGCAAATAATACTGAATACATTATGCAGTGACAAAATAACAAATATGTCTTCAAATAAGTCCAGGCAGAATCTTCCTTAGAAGCATCGATGATGAAAATAGTGAATGACTCTACACTGTTGTTAGATGTCCTTGAGGCAGTGCTCACAGGAACCATAGCTAGCTCATAATGCTCATCTTATTCACTTTTGGACTTTTTATCAGGAATGAACAGGTCCTGGATAGCATTATGCTTGGTAAAGTAAAAGGTCAATGAAAAAAAGGAAGATTCTCAACAAGATGGACTGACAGTGGCTACAACAATAATGACACAGGACTGAGCAGTGTTTTGTTCTGTTACCCATAGGAACACTGCCTCAAGGTCATCTAAAAATAGCTAGAGTCATCTACTGTTCATTCTTATTGCTTAGAATATAGTCCTCTGTTCCATCTCTATAAGATCTTCCTTATAATCTGACTTCCAACTGCTACTATTTCCTCCGGCTGCCTACAGCCCTTTTGTTCATAACCAATATTTTATATTTAGTATGTTTGGTAATTATTTTTGGAGGGAGGAGATCCAATCTCCTTAATAAAATGATATAATTCTTGAAGGCATTACTGTATTTGTTTCTCTTAGTAACCTTATCTCCAGCAGAGTGCTATGTATATGAGAGAGATAATTGTCATTGTTGTTGTTAGGTGCCATGGAGTCTAGTACAACTCATAGTAACACAATGAACAGATGTGAGCATTTTTCTATCCTGTGCCATCCTCATCTCCTCTGACACACTTGAGACCATTGCTGCAGTCACTGTGTCAATCCATCTAGTTAAGGGTCTTCCTCTCTTTTGTTGACTCTGCAACTTTCTAAGCATGATGTTCTTAATCATACTTAAAAAAGGCCTAGCAACATGACCAAAGAATGTGAGACAAAACTTCATCGTTTGCCTCCAAAGAGTATTATGGCTACACTTCATTCTTTTGGCAGTCCACAGGATATTCACTACTCTTCTCCAACACTGCAACTCAAAGGCGTCACTTCTTCTATCATCATTATTCACTATCTAACTTTCAGATGGATAGCAAGTGAAGGCCATGGCCTGATGAAGTACACCTTAGTCTTCAAATTGGCATCATTGCTCCTCAGTAATTTGGAAAGGTCCCTTATAGCACACTTACCCAATGTAATAGACTCCTATTTTCCTGACTGTTGGTACCATGGGTGTTGTCAGTGATTATGGATCCAAGAAATATTAAATAATCGACAAATTAAATCTTTTCTCTATCTATCATGATGTTGCTGATCAGTCCAGTGGTGAATTTCTGTCTTCCTGATGCTGAGATGTAATCCATATTAAAGTCTTTGATCTTCTACAGCAAGAGTACAGAATCAAAATTTAATTTGTTCCTCTTACAAAGCTGATGACACTTTAAAGCCATAATAAAACAAAACGTAGAAATTCAGCACTTTAATATACTCAACTTACTGCTGTCGAGGCAAAATCGAATCATAACTGACCCTTCAGGTTTTAAGAAGCTAGCAATCCCATGGAAGGAGAATGCACATCTCTTTCACTCAGAACAGCTGCTGGATTCAAACTGCTAGAGTTTGGGTTGGCAGCAGAACTACAGATCTCCCTTTTCATAAGTATACAGAAAATAAAAGGATATACTGAAGTTCATCAATCACAAATAATTTAAATACTGTTCTTGAGAGATTATAATGGATGTAAATATTGAGACGTGCTACAACTATACCTATACTCATTAGTTGAAGAAAAACATCGGTATGGCTCTCATTCACACGGGGACGGGAAAATGCACAGTATTTTCCGACCAACCAACAATCATGTTTATGCAGGGTGGTCTATTTTTGGAGATAAACATAATTTTGCTCCATCAAGGAGCAATGTTCCTTGTTACCAAGGAAGCTAACTACTGTGAATTCAATTTTCCACTTTTTTTTTTTTAACAGTTGGCCTGATGTCAATTTACAATGATCAAACTGGTATATCCGAACTAAGTAAAATCTATCAACCAGAGGGAAATTAGTTCCAAATTCTAAACTTCGAGAAGTAATCAGTCTTTCCTGAATTTCGAAAGGTAATCACGCTGGAAATGGTCTATGCGCCATTTCTTAAAGTGGAACACAAAATCTTTTAAGAAAATTACCTGGACATTAACACCCTCTGGTCATCACCATTCCCATTTGCAGTCCACAATGGCTTTCTTCATCCTCTCATTATGAACCCTAATTTCCTTTACTTACTCAAGTCTGGGTTAGTACAGACAATATTCGTTCTCTGAAACAAAGGTCAGGAGGGTAGACCTTTTCCTCTTAGGTCCCTTTGCCCCTCACCCTACTTTTCCACGAGAACAGCGTCTCACCTGGTAGATTCTTATGGTTCCCAAAGCGCCAAGCTGACGCGACCTCCATTGCAGAAGTGGCCCGTGGACAGAGACGAAAGGCCTGATCAGAATCACTGAATAATGTTTTTCCAAAGCAGCAGCAGCAGCTACCCAACGCCACGAAGATGTAGCAAGCACCGCCATCTTGACCAAGGAACCCGAAGCCTACAGCAGAGGATTGTGGGACACAGGCGTATCAAAGTGAGTTCTCTTTATCTCTCCCTTCCCCCTCGTTTTCCTAGAAACCTTAATCAGAAATCGCTTCAGTCAGTGGCTTTGGGCTTGGGCACGTCCTCTTTTACTTGTAGGGGCGGTCTTAACAACCTACAATACCGAGACAGCGTTTTCTTTCTTTTTTATCTCAGAGTTAAATTTGAATGTCAGATAAACAAGTCCTTTGTTATTATTTGGTGGTTTTGACTCATAGCGACCCTGAATGTAAAACCCAACGAAACACTTCCCTACCTGGTGCTATCATCATAAACTCTGCTGAGCTTAAGCCCATTTTTTTTTTCCCTGATTCTTTTAAAACATAGAATATGTTTTCAAACCTATGGATAAAAACACCAGTTTTAGTACTGTTCAACTAATTTCTATGCTATTACACTAGTTTCCATTTTAAGTAAGTAGGCTTATGGATTTTATTCTGCAAATCACTGTCATGATAGCCACTAATGTATCTTTATGCTGATATTATTTATCAGCTAAATAGTTGGAAGAAAACATCTCAATTCTGTAAAGTGCCCTCATTTGTGTTGCTGCATCTCTATCATGTGTGATGCAATGGGACACTATCACTATACCTGTGTTAAAAGGGCCAAGAGTAATAGAGTAATGCCTTTTTGTTGAATATGTCTATAGAGCTCGTAGAAATGCTGAAATTTGTCAAACATCCCTTCTGAATATAATTGTGAAGCGTACAAATAAATTGTTCTGCATAATTTCGATTGAAAAAAAGTTTTCACTTTTTCCATTGTTGCACATTTTCTTCTTCCCTCCCTCTCCCCAAGCCATCTTCACAGTGCATCCCTTGTTCCAAATTGTTGTCATACATGTAATGCCTAATCATATATTCCTTTCGGACACTTCTTCCCCTCATCTGATCTAATGCAGTATTCATGATCTATCCACTCTTTTCTCATTCTCTCCGAAACCTCCCCATATCTGTCCTATTTTATAACAGCCGTGTGATGTAGTATTCGTCCTTTTGTGACTGAGATATTTCACTAAGCATAATTTCCTCCAGGATCCCCTATGTTGTATAATGTTATACAAGTTCATTGTTTTTCAGTGCTGCCTAATATTCCAGTGTGTGAATGTACCATAGTTTTCCTATTCATTCATTTATTGATAGGCATTTATATTGATTCCATCTCTTTGCTATTGTGAATAACACAGCAATAAACATGTGTGTGAATACATCTGTTTGAGCTTTGGCTCTTTTTTTTTTAGGGTCTATTCCCAGTAATGGAATTGCTGGGTCAGATGGTATTTCTATTTAACTTTTTAACGAAGTGCCAGATCACCTTCTGTAGTGGTAACACCATTTTATACTTCCACCAGCAGTGAATAAGGGCTCCAATCTCTTCACAACCTCACCAGCATTTGTTGTTTGCTGCTCTGTTGAATTTGGCTATACTATGCAGCCCTGAAAAACAGTGAGCTCATAAAACATTACACAACATGGATGACCCTGGAAGACATTATGCTGAGTGAAATACATCCATCACAAAAGGATAAATACTAGCACGAGGGCGACGCAGTGCGAGGGCGAGGCCGCCAGACCGGGGAACGCCGCCGCCAGACGGGGGAACGGCGCCGCCAGATGGGGGAATGACGCTAGAGGGACCTGGAAGAGACCCAGGAAGAACAACAGCCAGCCACCTACCACGGAACTCCAGAGGAACGAAGACTACCAGACACTGTGTGACACCCCTGCAACCCACACCTGTGTGACCCTTAACACACAGGGTGCTGCTGCATAAACCCCAAGCAGCACCCAAGGCCCAAGTTTCCAAGCCCTGTGCTCCTTTGCCCCCCCAGTCCCTTGCTTCGTCCCCCTTCCCCGCCCCCCCTTGAAGCTCCACAACCACACACCTCAGCCCCCGCCACAGCCCTGTGACCTCAGGGCACCACCGAGGATCCAGCCGGAGCTATCAGCCCAGCTACTGTGGAACTAATCTGGCAGGAGAAAGGCCAGTAGGATCCTGACTGGATTTACTGGGGCATTGCTGATTACTTGGGAGAGCACCTAAGGGCATGTCCACTGGTGGGGAAATTGGCCAAGCTCTCTTGGGCTACACCAACTGCCCAGAAATGAGCCAGCCACTGGCTGGCTTCTGTGGACTCTGCAGACCAGCCTGAGGCTAGTGGGTTGGTGGGAATTTGACCATGACTTTTCGGGTTCTGTTGGATCCAGGACTCTGCTGGAGCAGGGGCTGTTGTGTGAGGGCACCTGCATAAGTGCCACCAGGCAGGGAACACTGAGAAAACCATTGGGTAGAAAACGGACAGCAGG